ATCACGGACGACCTCTTATGGCTCTGATCCACTACTTTATGTTTTCATGTTATCATTCTGGATAAGGGACCTATACAAATCTATAACAACCCCCCCCCCCCCAGTTGATTACATAATTTCACTGGGCTATACTATGCATACTGCAGATGCATACTACTGCTATGTATATGTCACATGGCTGATGTCATGGGAACAGCCAGTCACCAGCCAGCATGTTATTGTGAGGCCTGTGTTTTTCAATACAATCATCTTGCACACGTCAGTGTTTTGCCTTTTTGAAGTGTAACAGTCCAGACAGGGTGCGCCGCCTCCACTGAAATATCAGGACCCTTATCATGTGTAATATAATGTCATGCTGCACAGCTAGATTTAGGGGGCGTTCGAATTGCCTTCATCAATTGTTCGAACAAATTTATAAAAGAGATTAGTTAAAGTGTCCCATTAGAACGGTTTCTGTCATTTTAGAGTTTTTCAGTCGAATTGTCTTGGCGATGGTGACGTCCGATAAGATCGACCATCTCCGCGTACTACGTGACGTAGCCATATCAAACTCTTCGGAACTAATCCACCCCTCCCATCGGATGAGGTTGTGGAGTTTCGAGGAGTTTGTTTTTCTGAAGAGGCCAATAAGGCCACCTCTTCAGAAAAACGAATCTCCTGGAAAAGTCAAAGAGTGACAATTTGGCGAACGTGCCCTTAGAGTATGAGTGTGTACATAGGCAAAGCCAGGTCCTTTCTCTTTCCGTTGTAGTTTCCCACCCGCCCTCCCCTATATTCTCACTTCGGGATAGGTCCTGCAGGCTACGTTTTGTTCATTTATCTTATGGGGTTATTCTAACCGGTTTTTCCTCAGGGTTGTGCCTCCGCCCGGGTCCTGAGGTTTTTTCCGCCAGCTTCGGGGTGGTTAATTATCCGGCGGCCCTATTCGCCACAGTGGTTCACGTTTTGCATCATGTTGGTCTGGTACATACGTGTACATGTATATGCGTGAGGTGGCATGCCCTTCTTCATGCTCATCTCTACACTACGCTAAGCTCTTCCATCTTCCACCGTGAGTGAACAAAGACCACACTACTACTGTGATCTGTATCTCTTTCTGTTGTGTGTGGGTGTGTCTGCGGTGAAGGACAAAAAAAGAAAGAAAGAAAAAACCCAAAGGACCTATAAAATATAAGAGGTAACGTATACGTCCCTTCTCTTTACCTGCTGAAACCGTTTGTAAATTTAGATCAGGATGTCTTTCATGTTAGCACGATTGCGTTCTAGTTGTAAATTTCTCTCTTTTTTTCTCGTCACGCTACCATTTTTCGCGCTGGATAGGTTATACTTTTATTATTTTGCAGCAGCAGTGTGCATAGAATCTGATATTGAGACAGAAGCGGAAAGGTTAGCAATACATTGCTGCCCTGTTTGTGAACTGTTCTATTATTACTAGTATTGATTGATGTGCTAGGAATCATTTTTACGAGATAGCCTCGAAGACGTTCAAGGAACATACATTTTAATGACAAGTATTTTTTGCTCATGGTCTTTGTACTGAATGTGCAACTTAGAATAAAAGTAAAGATAATAAATAATTATTTCTAATGGTGAACGGTACTATTCGGCCAATAAAATGTAAAGAACTCTTCCTCTCCTCTCCTCCATGCGCTCTCACCGCCGACTCACTGCTACCCTCGGTAGCCAATACACACACCAACCAAGGAAGGGTTGCAGGTAGATACTGAAATTCCTCCTGACAGCTGTTTCGCCTTCATAAGGCTCATCAGAGAAGGTGATATTGAATAGGATGATATCCAGTGGAGATGGTCAGATTTATACTACAAAACATGGGCGCAAAATTACGGGCAAAGTGTGAGAATGAGAAGTTACAATTCTCCAGCAACACAGTGCCAGGGGTTCCAAGAAAATGGCAGTTGAGTAATCCAATCACAAGCTGCTAACCTCTCCAGCAACACAGTGACAGGGGTTCCAAGAAAATGGCAGGTGAGAAATCCAATTACAAGCTGCTAACATTAATTTTCTAACGGCTAGGCTAGGTGATAGTTAAAGAATTTTGGCGAGCCACCAAACAAAGTGAAAGAAAGTAGAGTACTAAGCGTGCAGTGCAGCAAAAGTTACAAAGAGTGCACACACGCATGAATGGACTGTAATTACATGTAGATCTACTTTTCACTTGGGCAGTTCTCCAGCCAACCGCGCAGGCATGCAAAGACGCACCACGTCGACTGTCCCCGCAGAGTCCCCCTCCGGCGTTCTCCCGAGCAACAGATCTCCGCTGGCCGTCACACCTTGCTGCGCACCGCACGTGGCCGGACCGACCGCTACCTCGAGCTGTCCCCATTTGCGCCTCAGTTGCTCGCTGCCGTTGAACGTCCGGACAACCCGGCCGAGCGTGGCGAAAGCAGAAATGAGAGTCCTAGGAGGAATTCGCTCGTCTGCCCCCACAGCTGAGTTGTCGACGAAGACCATGCTTCCACGATAATGACACCGCTCCCTTCCTTCCATTATCGACGCACTCACTGAAGTACCGCTACACTGGCACACAGTAGTAATTATTTCAAATGGTGGACGGTACTATTCGGCCAATAAAATGGAGAAATGTCCAAGAACTGGAGAAGAACGGGAGAACTGCCCAAGTGAAAAGTAGATCTACATGTCATTACAGTCCATTCATGCGTGTGTGCACTCTTTGTAACTTTTGCTGCACTGCACGCTTAGTACATGTACTCTACTTTCTTTCACTTTGTTTGGTGGCTCGCCAAAATTCTTAAACTATCACCCAGTCGTTAGAAAATTAATGTTAGCAGCTTGGGATTGGATTTCTCACCTGCCATTTTCTTGGAACCCCTGGCACTGTGTTGCTGGAGAGGTTAGCAGCTTGTGATTGGATTACTCACCTGCCACTTTCTTGGAACCCCTGGCACTGTGTTGCTGGAGAATTGTAACTTCTCATTCTCACACTTTGCACGTAATCTTGCGCCATGTTTTGTAGTATAAGTCTGACCATCTCCACCGGATATCATCCTATTCAATATCACCTTCTCTGATGAGCCTTATGAAGGCGAAACAGCTGTCAGGAGGAATTTCAGTATCTACCTGCAACCCTTCCTTGGTTGATGTGTGTAATGGCTACCGAGGGTAGCAGTGAGTCGGCTGTGAGAGCGCATGGAGGAGAGGAGAGGAAGAGTTCTTGATATAAATAATAAGAGAGTGAAACTCGACTCCGCAGCTGCCTGATAGTGACACATGTCATGGCTGAAACCTAATGACGTAACTGGTACAATAGGAGTCAACAGCTATTACATGAGCAATTGAATCTTCTAAGCACTTCTGAATAAGAATAGAATGAGGAGACGAAAGAATATGGAAAGCAGGAAATTCATGGTATTGCTAAAAGCATTGCATTGAATGATAATTTTTTACCAGAGTCCCAAGCACAATAGGGATTGAAATCAAACAGTCCAGGAAGTGAGCTACCAGAAAATTAAATAATGCCAAGCCGACCAGCACTCACACCTGAGACATTACATATGATGAGCAAAGGTCGGACCATCTGAGACATGGGAATAGGCAGAACCTAGAATTCGCCGACAAATCCGTCACTGAACAGACAGTTCACAACACACGGTGTGGTCACTTGGCCCCCTTTAGGCATGCCAATAAAAAAATAAAAAATAAAAAAGTAAATTATCGGGTCCGTTCCCGAAGGGAACTCACGACGGCCTCTAACACCCGATAAACCCTATGCCAATAGGGCAACTATAAATGTACAGTGACAACAAAACTCTGTGAACGACCTACCAGGATGAGGTTGGTGACGTGGTAAGGCCACAATGACACTGAGGAATACTCAGCCGCAAAACAATGTACTGGATGACTGGTTCTGTATCACTATCACCTTGTCCGTGCTATACACATTCCCACGTGTGCACTCTCTCTTTCTCTCTCACACACACACACCCAGACATGTGCCCACATGTGCGCACACATACACACACAAGCATGACAGCATCCGCACAATTAAATACAATAAAAGCTGTAACTAAAGACCAGCGTGACTAGCGACCAGCCTAGTATTACAGACCACTTTGCCAGGCACGGACGATCTCATATTAATATTACGCATGCGCTGTGCATACCTCTAACTGAGGACCACCTGCCACTAACGACCGTTTTCTCTGGCCCCAGGGGGTGGTCGTTAGTCACAGGTTTTACTGTATGTGCGTCTGCGAGTGCGCATGCATGTGTGCACGCACAACCATGTGTCCGTGTGTGTGTGTATGTGTGTGTGTGCGTGTGTGCGTGCGTGTGTGCGTGTGTGTACGTGAATATCATTGCAGACAATACATTTCAGCATCGGCCACGGTATGTGTGAGGACAAACGTGTACATGTTACGATATTACGCCACTGCAACCACACTCCTAGGTGAGGATCAATGGCTTACTGCGGGTCGCTGCATTGAGCACAGTGCCGCAGCCAAGGCACTGCCAGGAGTAGAAACGACAGAGAATACACGCACCTAATCTCACCAGCATGCCAATACCTGCACGTAATCCCATCAACACGCGATTACATGCACCCATATTTAATTAACAGCATGTGAATGCGTGCACGCATTCTGATCGGCGTGCCACTTCATAGACTGTGCGATATCTACCCTGAAATTCTGAGTTAAGAACTGATCAGACGTGGAAACGATAACTACAAACTCTCTGCATTGGAGACTGAACCGTCAGGAGAGCATAAGGATACAATTCAGAACTTATACAGTTTACGGTCAATACACAACTCCACTTTAATGGCATGATCCGATGTAGATAGACTTGATTCATGATATGTTCGTGAAGGTCAAGAGCTTGATATTTGCTCAAACAATCGAGCCATAGCGATTGTGGACAAAGTGTAACGTGCCAGTATCATGATGATTAATCCAGAGAGAGAGAGAGACAGAGAGGGAGAAAGAGATAACTGATCCATACGCAATTTCTGAGAGCAAACAGTTAGAGAGAGAGAGAGAGACAGAGAGAGAGAGAGAGAGAGAGAGAGAGAGAGAGAGAGAGAGAGAGAGAGAGAGAGAGAGAGAGAGAGAGAGAGAGAGAGAGGGAGAGAGAGACAGACACAGAGGCAGAGAGAGACAGAGACAGTGAGAGAGATAGACACAGATATTGTAGATGTTGGCATGCAACAAGACTAACCGTCATTACTGAGTGTAGCCATTACTAAACAAGGTACAATATCTATGACTTTGGTTCTTCATCTAAAACAACAGTAGTGTTAGTTGTGTTACAATGCTCATGGACTAATTTCTTTTCTTACCTGTGTACCAATCAACGCCTCTCTTCTTAGGCGTCCAATGCTTCCTTTCCTTTCCAGGTCCATTTTCATTTCCAATTCCATCCATCTTGTCTCCTTTCTTCTTTCGTGTCCATCTTTCCCGTTGCTTCTCTAGTGGTGTTTCTTGATCCGCTGCCGACTTCTCCAGCATAAGGCGAACTCTTCTTGCCTCCGTATCTTCCCCCGTTATAGTCGCCGATCTCAGTACCTGTACCCCTACTGGTGTCTCTACCTCAAGGTTTGATAATCTAAAGCGTCTCTGCTTACGAGTGTTGTACGCTGACATCGGCAAGCCAGATGTTAGTTGAGGCCTGATGTCCTTAGGTTTATCTTTGACCAGTGCTCGAAGTTCTTCGCGCAATTGGAACAACGTGTCGTCTTTGTCATCGCCCGTCCACTTTTCCACCCACAGTGCATTCGGCCAGTTGTGCGCTACTTGCAGCGGATCATTGTCGATCAGGACTGTCTTTGTCAGATCCCGGCCGAGTCGCGCAACACACTTGACCAGCTGGCCATCGACTTCCAGGCAATTGTACTGGTGTAGAATGTGCTCAACGATGTTGTTTTGCTGCGAGTGCAGCCAGTCGACAACCTGCTTTGCGTAGCCGGGTTGTGCTGTCGTGTAGACTATGATCTCAAAGTCCTGCTTCATGAGCTTCAGAAAGTGCAACAGATGAGGACGTGCGTACATGTAGCAGACGTTGTCACTGTCCAACTCAATTATCTGCTCATAATACTTGCCCACCAGCTGTGTATCAGATGTGCAGATAAGAGTGTTGTCCAAAGCGAGAACTAATGTATACTCAGAATTGTAGACAAATTTATCAGGCAGCATATCAGCCAAGTGTAGCAGTGACTCAGGAATGGCTGGACTGGAAAGGTACTCTAAAGGCACGGGACCATAGATTTGTGTCTGCTTCCCGCTCTTACTTCCCATGATGTACGTAGTGAGGTATGCCTCTTCAATGATACTCTCCTCGGCCTCGTAACCTATTTCATCACCTCTTCCGCCATCATCTGTCCACTCAGCGGACAACACGTCAAATCTGTTTCCACAGAACTTCCGTTTAGCAAATGCCCTCTTCCAGTCTTCTTTCTCTCTCTTGTCCAGATGCAGAGATAGTGTTGCACGTGGACGGGGTCGGTTCAAAGGAGTTAGAAACATGCCGGGTTCTACATTTTTCGGTGGGTGTTTTTTTTCTCCAGCAAGGAGCAAATCTGCCAGTTCACCAGTGACTCGTCTCATAGTTTTCTCCGAACTGTATCGATCCAGAACGTTTCCCTTTGACGTTATGAAAGGGCTCTGTATGCACGGCTGATCGTGCGTAAACTTGGTACAGACTGTTCGTCTCTTCCGTGGGATAATCTCACTTGAATCGCTGCTGACTGTCAGTGGTCTCTCCACTGCGGGCCGCCTGCTTGCTCGCCACATGCGTTCAAAATCCTTTTCCCGAGACGTGGAGCTTGGCACAGGGTTGATTATAGCCTGGATATCTTTCCATGGACCTAATGTTCGTCTTGGTCGCTGGTACCTGTGTAAACACATTGAGACACAAGTAAAAAAAAAAAAAAGGTCACAAAAACTGCGAGGAAATAGTCAACTGTTTTCCAGGCTGGAATAATCGCTAAAACATTCCGGCCAATGCTGCAAATGGTAGTGTGCAGGCAACATTAACCTTCTTTTCGGCGAATAGAGTAGAAACCCGTTCATAAATTGTGGGCTGTAGCCTGCTTGAAAGCAAAGGCAGACAGATGTATCAATGGGCGCGTTCGATTACACCCAAATCGGTCAACTTTAGAATTAGTTATTGTTGATGCGCAGTTCGATTACACAAATTCCGTCGTTAGAATTAATGCTATCCAATTCCGTCAGTTCCATTAATTCTGAAGAGAGGGCGGAATTTCTCTAATTCTGGCACCACAATTGCACATTCGGTGTGTTACCGGTCTGGTCATGCATGACTCAAGTCAAGGAAGAGCCTCCCTGGCCAGTGTGACGCGAAAGCAGGGCTACAGGTGTGTGTGGTTGCTACTTTTGTCTTCCCGAAAAGCTAATTACAGCAGTTGAGTTTCGACTGGCAGCTGATTAATAAACCAAATCATTTTGGGTGGTCCTTTCGCACACGCGTTCAGCTTTATCGAAGCCCAATATTGTTGCCGACATGGAGCCTTCACCGGGAAGGACCGGTACGCGAAGCTGTGTCCACCTCCGCGTGAGGGTGTATGTGATATCTTTGTACGACCAGTTTTGTTTGTGATTTGCCATGAATAAAATGCGTTGTGAATTCCAATTGTACATTTAAATGGCCGGAGTTCGTACATTCTGGTCATTCGAGAATTACAAAATCCAGATCCAGAACTGTGTAAACTTGTAATCGAAAGTGCATAGACGTCCAAACAGTAATCTACATCCCTGCATACACATAGTGTGCATGAAAGTATAATTGGGCCACAACACTAAGCCCATGGACTGACGTGGAAGCTCAATGGTACACTGACTCGCGACGGGTTTGTAAAGGTTGTGAATTGGACGTAGAGCAAAATGCCTGAGACCAGGCGTCTTTTTGTAGGAATGCTGCTGAAAACAAAGAACAAAGTAGATGGTTGGCTGCTGGTCTCGTCTTTTGACCCTCGTGACAGCAAGTGCAGTTCTTGTATATCTAGAGTGCTTCTGTCGCAAGAAACATTCCGAGGTGCCTAAGATTATAGAAATCGTCTAAAAGGAGACCAGAGTGATGCTATATTTGACGACGTACAAGCACAAGGAGTTAGGCAAGATTTCTCGCACAACATCTTTTCGGTTGCAAACATGGCATCAGGTGAAATCTTTAGCGTAATTTATTCCACTGGCTTCCGCCGTCAGTTTTGAGTCTCAGCAGTGTCCCTGCCCTTCCTACCTTTATTTCTCTGCATCTTGAACTCGCTCTTTTCAAACAATCTGCTATGATGTGCTTTGCCATGCTTCCATTATGCCATACCATCTTTGGGGATACACACCCGGTTGTTCCCGCGCTACTGCATTCTACTGCATCTGCATCGCTTTAAGAGTTGCATCTGCGTCTTGATCCATAGAGTGTGGTGGCATCCCTATGGATGTGGACAACTCGGCCTCCATCCGAGTCTCACGCTAACCGCGACGTATTTCTTTAAAATTATTTTACTGCATCCGTCGGCGCGATGGGTTTTCCCAGCTCACGCGACGCAGGTAAACTAATCTGACGGTCCTTAATCGTGCTACACTGTAGCGTATTCCTGTAATCTGCTCGCATGTACATATTCAAATTTATAGACATCCTGTTCTCAGTATTTGGCTCTAGACTTCTCTCTATATCAAAGCTGGTTTGGGAGCTTGCACATCGTTGTGAACCTGATGAATGCAATTTGCCGAAACGTTGAAATAATTATTGTGAAATGAGTTGAACTATTGCAGTGTTAATGGAAGAGAGGGTGTTGCCTCTACTACTTTTTAAACTGTTCATGAAACTGCGGGAAGCCTTCCCACTTTTACTTAGACTGCTCTCGTTATCCAATTCATATCTAGCTCCAACCAGCTATCCTTCAGCTGTGTTCTGTTGCAATTTTTGTCAGTGTCTCTCCGTATCACAGTGTTACGTGACACGAGAAAACTCGGAGAATGGTGTGATTTAAAGGGGCACTCCGGCTTCATTGTCGACGCCGAGTTTTCGATGGCAAGACGAAGGTAGGTGAAAGAGAAGACCCCTCGAACAAGAACGAGTCTCCAGAAGCGATCGAGTCGAGCGGCTATCAGCCTCTCTCTCCATCATCAACAATTATCACAGATTCAACATTCTACATTTATCAGCACTGGGTGAATATGTCTCGAGACGAATTTAGCGGATCAACAACGCTTTGCTGGAGATAAATTCTCCTCTGGAGGGCCCTCAGGATATCTGGAAGGGTATAGAAGACGGGATCGCTCACAACGTTGGGAGAACATAGAAAACAACCTCCTCTTAGATTGAAAATTGGCCAGAAAGTATGTGAAATGTATGTGCGTAGGTGCATTTCCACCGGCAAGCTAATCCCTCATTACGTCATCAGCGCTCGCTCGGCGAAATTCAAAAGTCGTCTTCCCGCTCGACTCAATCGCTTCTGGAGACTCGTTTTTGTTCGAGTTCGAATTTTGGACATGGCCTATCTTCAATATTAAAGAATTTATTCACTGCAAGACAAAGTGAGATAATGATTATCATCATGTGACAACAACGAACAATGTGGCGTGATATTTGTGCGAGATAACATGACAACATTGTAGTACGTCATTTTGTGCACGTGGTGTTGGTGCATGCGCATGTCGCTGTGCTGTGAAAAGCAGTCTTCGTCTCGAGTTCGTCAAGTACAATTGTGTTTCCGTAATCGTCTAGTAATACACAGTCTTTGTTACGTAGTTATCGTCCTCCAATTATCTGAGTGTAGAGATGGCACGGGGTTGAGAGCAGGTGTAGAAAGGCATCTACAACATTAGTGGCAGGGGTGATAACAATTTGTTGTACACTTCAACCACTGGATTGGTCCTGCATGGCATTCGCTCCCAGTTTCCGTTGTCATCTCTAGTCGTCCTTTCGTCAGTCGTCAAGAAGTTCGTCCGTCGTTCTTCATCAATCGTCTCTCCTGTCTCACATCGGTTGCCGTCAATGCATAGTTAAATGTAAGGAGCATCACAGGGCACTGATTAGCGGTACCACCGGGGTCTGGGTCGGGATGTTCCCCGCGAAAAAAAATACGGATGTATGGGCCCACAGGGCACGTTTTACCATTCTTTTATTGCTTTTTCGCATGGATTGGGCGGATCATCCTGGAGGAAAAGTGGTGCGACCAAGGTCGTACTGGTCATACCATGTGTGATGCCCCTGAGTGTGGTGGTGAAATTCCACCTGAATCAAACTAGAAGCACACAACCTATGCGGAGAAAACACGCCGTTTTTTAGTAGCCAATATCCGCACTGTGAGGGAGGGGCGGCGTTCCGTTTAGTGAGTCTCACGTTATTTTTATTCAGTCTGGTCGGGCGGTATAAGTAGCCTGTAGCGGAATCACAGCCATTCCGTTCCCGGGACGCAGGACACAAAGGACAAGTACATGTTTGTTACATTGTTAAATATTCTTGACATGACGGAAACGCAGACTACACTCAAAGAGACAAACGAGAAGACTGACAAAAAGACTCTTGACTACAAAATCGCGCATGCTCATATCCCACATGCACGCGTCAGGCGAAATAGCACATAATAGTACATTCGAGATTAGCGGGAAGAAGATGACGACGTCCACTAATTTAGTATCTGTGCACACGAATCTGCTGTGTGTGATACTCTGTGTGTCAGCTATGGCATCATCGCCTGTGGTTCCATGCCTAGCATGTACGTCTGAACCATCCTGCAAAGTTCGAATGACGTAGGTTGCGCGATCGCTCCGCGAAACATACTTTTTGAAATTCTCTTCATAGTATATCTTCCACCATTGAAATTTCGAATTTCTTCGAATTTTTTGCTGAGAGGGGTGGCTTGCAACCTCGATATGGCTTGTTCCAGGCATGCTTTGGAGCCATCGCCTGTTGAAACAGTGGCGGGAAAGCTGCCCTGCAACTGTTCCAACAGGAAATTAATCGATCCGAGAAAGCGCGAGTCCGCGAATCTCGGTTGAATATTGAGTATTTCAAGCCTTTTCACGATGAAGATGGAGTTCTTTTTGGAGATGGACGTCGCGGCAAAGGACGTGGTGTCCGACTTCTGGCGTCTGGTGAAGCCAGGGATCATTTGTCCAGTCAGGTCGGCAGCCTAACCGTCGGTAAGCTTGTGTTTGGGTCCCGTTCTGCTCGATGTGGTAGATCACAAACAATTTGATATCGCACAAATTGATCTCAGCATCGTGCGTACGGTATTTTATATTCAGAAAAGCCCAAAGTGTCTCTGTGTGGCCGTCCTATGCCACGAGAAACTCCAATCAGGCTCCTATGTCCTCTGCCTTCATGATTGAATGTCCACTTCGTTTGAACAACGAACACAACAATCGAGGACGGCTTTGCAATGAAAAATACAGCTATACTGGAGCTGAAAAAAAGAAGAAAAAAACGTGTTCAGGATGAGACTCGAGTACACGCATACTCTCCCAGCAGGTGAAACGCAATTTTTGGTGAAAATGCGTGTCGCCGACTGACCAGTAATTCCGCCTGACGGCGACTAGACGAGACAGTTTGGGGAATGTCATCACAAAGGAAATCAACACAATCATCATTATACCACAAATATTGTCCACAGTCATGTACAACACATTCTACACCCGGCGCCCAGAGGAACGGTTAACCCTTTGAAGCCCAGCTGAGTTTTCTAATTTCTCAGGCACTCGCGCAGCGCTGTACGCAACCACGGATGGTCAGTTTCAAAATTTCATAATTCACTCACCAGCTATGTAATTTCATGATCTGGAGCTCCATGAAAAGCTTGCCATCTTCTCCATCCAAAGATAAACACTAGATACTACGCAAAAGCAACAGAAGCGCTTCCAAGTCCCTTGAGTGCAGCTCTATTGCGCCTGAACGAGATACACCACCCACAGCAACAATTTCCTTCGGTTCATGACTTTTACTCAACGCAAAACAACGATTCAAAGTTCTTCGTGCTGCTGAAGCTCAAACGGTCATCTTGGTACCCATCGCGCATAGGCTGCACTGGTATGAGTCATGGGGAAACCCCATGCGACACGTACTCGAACATTTCAAAATTCTAAAGCTCAGAAGTATGCAACCGCGTTCCAGTCTTCGGCGCTCGGGTATTTCGCATCGTGAACACCGCCGGGTCGCTGTTTTGAAGGTAACAACTGGTTTGTGCTGAGTCCCTTGAACACGTCCATGTGCAATAGTTCCTTCTTTGTTATCATGGGATGCGCACCCTGTGCGATTCTGGACCCCAAGAGGCCTCGACCCACGTGCTCATGTTCAGACCGATTGCATCTACAAAGTACTGTAATTTCACAAATTTCCGGTGTACTTTTATTTCGGTACCTTCGGTACATCTGTTTCATACTTAAAAAATTTCAATAAACCAAACACCAACACACATAATCCAATAGGAAATTGCTTCTCTGTGTCTAAAATTTCTGTTCACCTAACTTGGCTTTTGTGCTCATACGGAAAATATTGAGCACCTAAAATTTCTGAAATCAGAGTATACTCTCAGAAATGAAGGGCATTGCTTACCACGCAGGACATTCTACTGAATGCATTATGCCATGCGTAGAGTACAGCAAGTGCACAGCATAACCTGCTTACGTCACAATCACCGTCGAGAAGAAAATACTTGACGGACAGGCGTACTCAGTGACTCACCCTGATCTGACAGGCTTTTGACGCAAACTACATGGATTTCGAAACTGCGACTTGAACTTGAAGCCAGGCTTGTCTTGGTTTGGCTGAGCGATACCTCGGTAGACACGATGAGGATCCAACATATCCATGTGAACTAGTGTTGTGCGTCTGTCTTGAGCCATACTGGGTGACCTGCTAGTTGCAGCGCTGCGCATCACACACAACTAGCCTGAACTTCGCATCATTATACGCCAAATCTCAAACAAGCAAGCCGAACTTTCAGATACTTCGACTTGATGGAGAACCTTCCTCATCTACAAATACATTACGCAGTTACCACTTCCACAGGTTTTGCTAAATAGTCGACGCAACTCCTGCTTCCTTCCGTCGACAACAGCTAGCTGTGTTAGCAAGGAGTTTGTAGGTCGACAACAGGATTTTTTTCTTCTCCAAGTCCAGATCTCAAACAAAATGCAGCCAACGAAGTACATGATGTACTACTGACAGTACTGTGGCGGAGTCGGACATGGAAATCCAGTCGATTGACCGGCACCGGCGCCCTCAGCGCGTACGGTACAGACCGATGCGTGCATGCAGTGCACAAAGTCATGTTGATCTGGTGCGACCAGCGCGCGCCCTGCGGCACATAAATGCATGTGTGTACCGCTTATCCACGACTGCATGGCCAGCGCCGGCGCCCTGGGGCCGCTAGAAGTGCGACCAGATTTCCATGTCCATGACAGTAAAATGTACTCAGTACTACTACTACTAGTAGCTACTAGCATTTCTTTATTAAGACGGTCGAGAACGGCCGAGGAAGGCTGAGGACCAGCCTGCCGACCAGCCGGCAGGACCAGCCTGCCGGGTACACTATCTGCTGACTTGGAGGCAGCAGATGCCGGAAAGCTGAGTAGTCTGGTGGACTTGCACAGAATCAGGAAGATTGCAGCGGATAGGGCCGAGTGGCGAGCTCTGTGTCAACGGGTGACAGAAAAGGATCTGTAAGGGATGGATGACACTACAATATCTGACTTCTTCTCAACGACGTACAAGTACATGTAACCTTGTATGTTTGGATGGTGCCTTTGTTGCTGATCCACCACACCATCACTCAATGCTCTCTACTGCATTGTTCACCCACCACTGAATTTATACTTCTGCGGCTCCTTCCCCCCCCCCTTTTCTTCTGATTCGTGCTGTTTTGGTTCTGATACAGTGATCGTTTGATTTTTTCCCACAGCGTATCATTTGTTATCCTCCTGCCTTCGTTGTCCAGCACAAGCGAAGAAGTGGACCTATCGGTCGACTTCAACGCGAAAATGCACATAATAATAATATTAAAACAATAGGAGGACAGAGAAAGTGTTTTTACTCAGAGTTTCACGCACTAAGCGATCATCAGAAAACAGTAATGAGAAATCTGGATCAGTATTGGTTTATATACTCACAAAGCAAAGTGTAAATAGCTGCAGCATGGCGCAAATCTAAAAGTTGTGAATGGCGGCAGTGCAAAGCGTGAATGACAGCAGTGGTGAATGGTGACAACCACTGGAGCTGGTTGTCTCTTACTTAATTAGGTGATGGCTGTAGATGGTTTGAAGTTCCGAAGGTAGTACCTATTCTCATGGCGACACTTCGACTTCTTCTTTGTCTCGTCCGTTTTACGCTCGACAGCTGCGACTCCGATCTACAGTGACGCGCTGAGGAAGAGTGGACACCGGGAGAACGTACAGTATTTTGACGAGCGTAAAACGGACGAGACAAAGAAGAAGAAGAAAAGGAATCGCCCTCGGAACATCATATGGTTCAACCCACCATTTAGCAAGAACGTCGCCACCGACGTTGGACATCGCTTCCTCCAGCTAGTGGCCAAACACTTCCCCAAAGGCTCAAGCCTCAACAAAATCTTCAACCGGAACTCTGTAAAGGTTAGCTACAGTTGCATGCAGAATATGGCCACTATCATCAAACAACACAATACCACGATTCTACGACCCAAGAATCAAGCTATTATAAACGGAGGTGACAACGATACCAGGACTTGTAACTGTCGGGCGAAAGACTCATGCCCACTGGACGGAGCGTGTCTAACGGAGAGCATCGTATATAAGGCAAGAGTCACCGCAGGTATGGAGAAGAAGGAATATACTGGATTAACAGCAACAACATTCAAACAACGCTACTATAACTACCAATCCTCATTCCACCACAGACAACACGAGACGGACACCCGCCTATCGCAGTACGTCTGGCCCAAAAAGGATGAAGGAAAGGCATGCAGCATTCAATGGGCGGTACACCGCAGAGCAGCGGCCTAAAGCAACAAAAGCAAAAGGTGCAACCTGTGCCTGGCAGAAAAATTGGCAATCGCGCAAGCACCCATGCAAGCACCTCTCTCTCAACAAAAGGAGTGAGCTTGTGTCGAAGTGTCGCCATGAGAATAGGTACTACTTTCGGAACTTTAAACCATCTACAGCCATCACCTAATTAAGTAAGAGACAACCAGCTCCAGTGGTTGTCACCTTTCACCACTGCTGTCATTCACGCTTTGCACTGCCGCCATTCACAACTTTTAGATTTGCGCCATGCTGCAGCTATTTACACTTTGCTTTGTGAGTACATGTATATAAACCAATACTGATCCAGATTTCTCATTACTGTTTTCTGATGATCGCTTAGTGCGTGAAACTCTGAGTAAAAACACTTTCTCTGTCCTCCTATTGTTTGAACCGGCTCTACCACTCGGTATTGAGCACTCTCTTTGAAAGCCTGGAACCTCTCTGTTTTAATAATAATTTTATTATTATTCGTTGAGGCTGAAATGCTTTATATACAGATAATTATTATGCTCTGTGATGCATCAGCTAGTTCGTGAATTTCTTCTTTTAGACATTCATCATTTTTTGTTCTCACATTGGTCGTGGACCTGACCCTGACGTTTCTTGCGGATGCGCACAACAAAACGTTTTGTTGTGACATGGTTATCTAAAGTACATGGACTTTGTTACTGTCTCTTGATATTCAATAACTCAGATGGTTAGCCAAGGAAAAAAGATTGTAACATAGAAATTGAGGGAACAAGTTATGCGTTTGAGTCTAGCATTTAAATTAGATTTTGGACTGTCAGATCCGCACAATTTAGCACAAAACTGACAAGGAATACTGAGATATTCCATTGCATGAAAGTCAGCTTGGACACTGCTCGATAGCGCTAACCAACGGCCTTCCAACCTTGGAAGGTTCATGGATATAGTGCTGATTCCAAAGAGGGGAAGGCGAGCGCCATCCAGCCGAGCACAGGATACATTCAAGGGCTTCATGAAATTCTTGCCTGGTATGATGACGGGACGGCAAGACCAGACAGAACGGTCAAACCACAATGCGACAACGGAAAGCAACAACCACCTAACTTGGGAGGCTCAATATTATCAGAATGATATGAAACTATGAAGGGGAAGGTTCGCGAGGACGAATTGTAACAAACCGAACGCCATTATCCAACGGTACTGTACTTAGTTGATGACAGTGATGAACTCAGAACTAATTGTTATAACATGTAGAGTATCACACGACGATCGTTTTGCCGTATTGTTCATGACGGCTTTTCAGGTGTGCATTTACCCTTTAACTGTTCCTTGAAACTCAGATGTTGAGCCAAGGAAAAAAGCTATCGAGCAGTGCTCAAGCTGACTGTCATGCCGTGGAATGTCTCAGTTCTCCTTGTCAGTTTTGTGCTAGATTGTGCACGTCTGACTGTTCAACATCTAGTTTAGTTGGTGGAATCGATCGCATAACTTGTGCCCACAATTTCCATGTTACAATTTTTTCCTTGGCTCAGCATCTGAGATCTTAATGCAGTAACTGTTGCGGTACAATTCCCAGTGCAAATAACAAAGCAAACTATTTCCACAGGAGCATGCACCACCGCTAAAGCACAAGATCGAGACGAGCGGAAACGAGGATTGTTTGACATTGTGTGCGGAGAGAAGTGAACAAAGGACAGGGCCGAGCAAAATATCGCGAACATCGGTTCTAACCGCCGTATCCTCCGCATCATATTTAGAACTGGCTGCTATATTTCTCACTCGGACTTGCACAAAATGGTATAATGTGCTGTCTTGTGCACGCAATTTCAGCCCTCACCAACGCTGTACAAAGCGTCACTGGCCCGTTTGTCAACGGTCGCGCTAATCGACCAATCAGCGTACAGCTAATGGACCAAAATCCTCAAACTTACCGTACTTCCTTGGTTCATACGGTGTAGTTTTAAAAGGTGTTTCCAAAGATTTTTTATGGACCAGCGTCTTCTTTCGATAGATACCAACAGATCGTCCGCTTCGAATTTTTCGATTTGAATGCCGTTTGGCCGAAAATTACCTCCGAAATCGACCTCCACTTGTTTCACTTCAAGGCTTTCCAGGTGGACGGCATCGCAATTCGGAAGCAGAGAAAGGATAGCCAGTGAAAAAAGAAAAAACAACGACGTATTGGTTGTCAAAATCGACCAAGAAATGAATTCAATAGACCCGTTTCCGTGCTGCGCCCTCTCAGCCCGCGCGAGTGCGAAAGGGATTTTTTCTCGACAAAACAAACAACAACTACGCGCAGTGCATGCAGGTACTTTTTGCAGTTCAGTACACTGACACCACTGCACTGGCTGTACATGCAGTGTACCTTAGGAATATCCTGTTCTTTTCCAAGGCATGATTGCCGCTAATGGGAGAACTCAGCCCCCTGAGGCTTTCATAAAGGAAGAAGTAGTAGGTGAATGAGTTCGCCAGAAAATGGAACGCCAAGAAAATAGATACTGTTGCTTTCGGGCGCTCATGAGACGACAGCAAGATAGGACTGAAACGATCGACAGTCTGTCTCGACGCAAAAGAAACTGTTCGAGGAGAAGCTCGACGCGCTGTAGAGTTTGCAGTATTCTGCTGGAAGAAGACAAGAGAACTAAACTCAGACTACAGCGTGGAGCTGAAGCACAACCGAAGCAAAAGCTGAGCGAGTTCGAAGAAATGGGGAAACACAGGGAAATGAGTGGGCGACATGATCTTTACTACTTTAGCTCGAAGCTCGCGCTAAGACACGCGGGGGGCACGTGCGCCTACGGGTAGCGCGGCCAGCCACCATGTTTTCAAAATGGAGGTCGACGCTTTTGAAATCCGTGAAGACAATGGTGAGGGCTGAATTTACCTTGGCATATCCCCCCCCCCACCTACAGCAACTTAATTGGTTTGTTTCGAACACGTAGTAAAGTCCGTTTCCCTCGAGCTACCACATCTCGTTTATTATCCTCCCCCTTTTTCAGCTCTCAATAGTCTTATACGAAATGACTGGCGCTGCCCCTCCATGTCCCTCAGGCTAAGTCGCTTCCCTCGTTTCGCAATCTTGCAAAGCAGCATTTCAACATTCCAATTGCGATTCACTCGTCAGTATATCTGTTTAGTCTCGGTCGTCTCATGTCGGCTGTACTGCTCCCTTTCCTCTGTTACTTACCATGGTATTGGTGCACCACCACACTTCATATACTTTCTTCCTACGCCATGGCTGGCAAACGCCCCCTCCTCATCTATACTGACACTGATTCATCTTTAGCCACTGGAAGGTCTGATAATAATACTAATATTAAAACTATGAGAACAGCCTACAACTCAAGCCAAGGACGTCCCGTGACTTAGGCTCTTTATCTTCTAGTTCCCTGTTGTGTGGGATGCGTGGAATGTCAGGGCTCACAGTAGACATGCGGAATCGACAAAAGCGTCGTGCGAGGGCGGGTTTTGCGCACGTGAGTCGCGTGACCCCGGGAGAGTACAGATCGTGTACATCCCACGCATCCAAACAGAACAGACAAGAGAAAGAACCTGACGCCCTGAGTTGTACTTGTACTTGAAGCCTTTTCTCGTAGTTTTAGAGCCGATGGTTTGGTAGGACCTGTCCTTTCCTCGCTTCTCTCGGCATGCAGTGTCAAACCATTCTCGTTTCCGTTCGTGTCGATCTTGTTTCTTTTACGATCGTACATACTCCAGTGGAAATAGTTTGCTTTATTATTTGCACTGGGAATTGCACCGCAACATTGAACAGTTACAGTAGTTGTGCTTGTCCTCGGCAAAGAATTGCCTTTCACTGTGCCTTGTAGAATTGGTCCACCGAAGGAGAAGGCGAAACGCAACCTGTGCCAGTCCCAGTAAATACAACATGCCATGTCCGACCAAAAGCTGATTCTACAATGAGCGATCGCGATGTTCCACAGGTAAGAAGACACACAAACGAGTCAGAGCTCGCCAGGAAGGTAACGCCGAGAACATGATGATACCACACGGAGCTGCTGATCGGATGGAGGTGAACGGGACCAGCAAATCCACCGGGCGTTAGTCGAGGGTCACTGAAGGCTAGGTTTCCCAGGGTACCAGTTCCTCCATGATGGCGAAATCCGCTGCCACAAGAACTCCAGCGAGAATGAAAGCACAGCAACCTACGCCGCGGTCGAACTGAGGAGAGAACACTGAACAATCTGTGCACAATGATTTTCTCTTCGACGGCACGCGTTGCTGTTCTGCTGCATGCATGCGTTTTTCTTGTTGTTTGATCTTCACACATTTTCGCTCAAGCGGTTGCGCGCCGCTGGGACTCGGGGCTACTAAAATCAGTACAGAGCATCTCCCCCTTGGTCGATTTGGACAATCTATGGCTTAACATTTTCAGGAGACCCTGGCAAAGAAAACCGAGACGTTTTTGGATACTCCTTTCCAATACTGTTCTATATCTCACGAAGTTTACGCATATGCTCTGGCATACCCGTGTGCGTAATGAAAATTTGTTTCGATAATTCTTTTGGAACACCTGTCTTCTGTGCCTGGGTCAAGTCCCAGCCTCGTAAAACCTAGCTGAAGTGCTGCTAACTCCTTCAAACACCCCCTACTTCGAGCAAAAATGCGACGAAATGCTGACTGCTGATTGGTCAAGCTGGCATTTTGGAGCACGTGCGCCGCCCCCATCTAATCGACGCTTTTCTACGCAACTCAGTCCGTTACTAGACTGTGAACCCTGAATGATTATGTACACGATCGGTGCTCTCTCGGGGGTCACGCGACTCACGTGCACCAAAGCCGCCCTCGCGCGACGCTTTTGTCGATCCTGCGTGAACATGTATGTAATGCGCACGAGACTGTGATCCCTGATGGCCTGAGGGCCTAGGGCCTGAGTTGGCGGGCTCCTGCAGCAGTCGATGACAACCGTTGCTAGGGCTGGGCATGACCGGCGCCTAGGCAGGATGATGTTGTAAATACATGAAGCAGGGTTGAGGCTGTTTAGTGTTGAACTAGTAAACTAATAATAGTTACTTGAAGGCGTTACTGGCGTCAGCCATCAGCACACACGTGACACAGTCGACATCACTCCATGGCCCATAGCCCAGAAGTTGCGAAATCGAAACATGTACCTCCTCCGCTGTAGCTGTGGATTCAGGATGGGATTGCGTGTGGTCTTTCCTAAGTGTTCAGTCAGCCGCGTTCCCCAGGCTACCTGTTGCTAGAGAAACAGCGACAGGGCTGAGTGCATTAATTATTTTGGTAGATGAAAAGCTGACGACGGTTGTGAAACGCAGACTGATGTTGTTGTACAGACGCGTTGAATGGTCGAGTCGCCGACGACGTTGGGATATGCCGATGATGTGCAGCTCGCGATGCTCTTCCATCTGCCTTTTTGCGAACGGACATAATTCTGACATAAGTGTGCAACCCGTTCTAGTACAGGCGCAACCAACGCAATTTCCATTGACAATGGCGGTGCACCGGCAACACTGGCATACGCCTACTCCTAGTCCTACATGTTTTGTCACAAGACTCACTAGACACTACTACTAGTTCATGACATTGTAGCGTCAAAGATCACGTCCCTACGTTCCTATTAATTTTCTTAGACCAGTGGCAGTGGCACAATTGTTGGCGTCGCCACTATTGCGCAGCAGCGGCGCCGTTGACCAGTGGCGTATTGCGTTTTAGCCTTTAGGCTCGTCGGCTTTAGTGGCACGCTACATCTAATAATAACCTTTATCCACGTAGAAGACATGAACGCCATAGTATATGTGGGAGTTTTACAACCTCCTTATCCCGCAAGCATATGCTATCAAGAGCAGGCCTTGCAGGCCCGAGGCGAAGAAGCTTTGCACAACTTGAAGTCTAGGCTTTGATGCCTTGCATCGTCAGTGTTGAAAATGTTCTCCTTGAACACACTTCAACTTTTACTTCTCTCTGCCTCTTCCCTTCGCCTTTGGCATTAGTTTCATTTTATTCCGCTGTCGACAGAGGTTGCCTGACTTGGTTCAATCCATTGTTTGGTCCATCTGAATCAAACGTTATCAAAATCCTCAGTGGTAGTATTCAGACGTTTTCGGGTTCTGCGGTTCTTCTCTAGAACTGTGAGCGATCTTACTGGTGAGCTCAACTGAGCCGTGCACAACTCCTCTCTCAGCTGAAGATTCAAACATGGCGGCAAAGGAGCCTCGTGTTTCTGGCAAACAGATGGAGCAGTGGTCAAGGTACGTTAATGCATAAGTATTATCACTTTTTCTACAGAGAACCAAACCTCTGCCACAGTCATGTAGTTATAGGAGTCAGGCTTTGAATGCAAGGTGAAGTTAGATTGGCAATGATCTTACCTGATTTGAATTTCCTACTTCGAAGTATTTTCTATCCATTTACTATTCATCCGATCTATTTTACAAGTAATTTTACATCCCAAATCAAATAGGCAAGTATGCACATAGCCAGCAATCGCAGGTTATCACCTAGATATAATAATAATCTGCATAACGGTAAAAGTAACTTAGTTTAGAATGGAACTTTTGCTCAGCGTCACCCTTTTAACCAGGCCGTAACGAGGTCGGCCGAAAGAATCCTAGAGAAAGAGAATCCTCCTCTCCACTGCTCAACCAGGATGCCGACATAGGTCCAAAAACAGACAACTAAAAGGTACGCAAGAAAACTTTACGGCCACGGCTGCGCAGACTTTGGCCCACTAATATTTTAACATACATTCAAAATTTACGAGGAGCACACAAAAATCTCCATTGAAACCTAGGCAATCTGCTGAGGCCCAAACTATAAAGAAGAAACACTGGTGGTAGGAATTCACATCGGTGCAGTGAACCAGTTTTAGTCTTCTATATCGAAGTTTACCGCGCCTAGTGTAATCCAGCGAAAACAACACAGCGTCAACCGAATGTTGCCTTTGTTTCATGAGCGCCAAAGACAGAAGTAATCTGTGCCAGAAGATTGTGCTCTTATGGAGGTACCTATGTATACATACATACATACATAAATACAAACATACATACAAACATACTTGCATACATATATACATACAAACATACATACATACACACCTACTTGCGTACATACATCGTGATCTTGGTCCTGCTGCCAAGTCTCGCTACATACACACACACATACAAGAAACAGACCCACATACATGTACACCCAATCTAATGTTGCAACCCATCCACCCAGTGATACATTTGCTGCTTTTCCTTCGTTATTTCTTCCATTTGTTTTCTATATGTCTGGTTCACACAGGATTCAGCGGAATATCCGATGTAGTATCATCGAAGAGGATCGATTCGGTCGCCCAGGAGCAACCCTGAGGTCGTCAATTAACATCATTGGTGGACTTGATATTTCGTACAGCAGCAACGGCAACCAGACGGCCGTGGCTGCGCTATCGCTATATAACTACCGTACCATGCAACATATGCATACATTTAAGATTCCCGTCAAAATAACCGTACCATACAAATCCGGCTTCTTGGCGTATCGAGAAGTCGAGCATTATGTCACGTTGCTGGAGACGCTTAAGAAGGAACACCCCCAGTGGAAGCCACAGGTGCTTTTGGTGGATGGCAATGGAATTTTGCACCACAGAGACTGTGGCTCAGCCAGCCATCTAGGAGTTGTGGCTGACGTGCCCACCATTGGTGTAGCCAAAACACTTCTTATTCCAGCGGTTCAAGCCCGAAGTGAGCGAGAATTCCGAGAAGTAAGTGAAGACTTCTCGATATTCTTGCCCTGGAACATTCGTTAGGAATACTCGCATCTACTTCTTTATCTTTGCACAATATTGGCTGTAATTCATTATTATTCCTGTCGTGCAACTGAGCGAAATTTTCGGAGATGGAGGGGATAGCAAGTGAAAAGTACTTAGCTTAGGATATGGTCCCAGTGATAATCATCTGTCCCTGTTGAAAGTTTAACACTTGCGTCTTTTTGACCCTTTTGGCATCCGCAGGACAATATCAAACACCTTTGCCAAAACAGAGGCACGGCTCCAGTGATTGGAAAGGGCAGGACCGGCATCATTGGAGTAGCCAGCGTCAACAAAGGTGGATCAACACCCGTCTATATTTCAGTGGGCCACAGAGTGTCTCTGAATACTGCAATCAGAATAGTCCAGCAGTGCTATCGAGGCAATTGTAGAATTCCAGCTCCTATAGACAGTGCTGATCAAGAATCCCGGCAACAGATTGGTGCAAGAACAAGAGGCACTCGTCCGCGTGTGAATGCCAAGCCTAGAGATCGCAACAGTTACGACGGAGCAGTGCAGCAGGTCGACATGGACACGTCAGGCAGCAAGGATTCCACGACTTCCACCACACATGACGTTCCGCAGGATACTCAGAATACAGCTCCACTGAAGGCCCAGCCATCAGCTAACGCCCAAGGGACTCCTGGTTTCCCTGCTCGTCAACATGGCAAGGCAGCTCACACCTCCCCAGACGACGAGGGCTTCACCTCGGCTACTGGAAAACATACATTCAAGCCCAAGCCATCAGCTAACGCCCAAGGCACGCCTGGTTTCCCTGCTCGTCTACGTGGCAAAGCAGCTAACACCTCCCCAGACGACGACGGCTTCACCTCGGCTACTGGAAAACATACATTCAAGCCCAAGGCATCCCCGTCAGTGCAACACTTCACCCGATCCACAGGTAACATGGGCTAACGAAGCATCAGCCACCGAGAGGGAAAGGCATTTCGAACCCGTTGCAGCATCGCATCAGAGTCTGTCACACGATAAACTGCTGGAACTGTAAAGATAGGCTTCATTGATTCATGCAGCCTTCAACATAAGATACACCACATCACTAATCCTCTCCAGGAACGCACTGGGATATCCTGCGCAGATACGTGGATACATTCTACGTAGATCGAAGTCATAGCACGAGAGAGAACCTTGATGACTATGCTCTTCTACACTTTGTTATGTGAGATTGTCAACTCGCTTGCTAGCCTTCCTACTTTGTTGAATCCCATTTATTTTAGCATTCCTGATGTGGGTCCATACCCCTGCTTGATGATTTAACTCCAGTTACTTTCATTGGCTACCTTTAATCCCGTAAATTCCACTGATGATCGGGCCAGAAGATATATTTCTCGCCGGCCGAGCGGAGCGAGTGAGGTTAGAAATGATTTCTCGCGCAACAAAATTATTTTTCTTGCGAATATGGAATCTGGTGTTTTCTCTTTTTGTTGCAGTTCTTTTTGCCTGACTTCTTCGGTCAGTGCTTTGTGTCTCACCAGTGTCCCCACCCTCCCACGTTTCATGTCTGCCCGTCGTCTTCCCTTTCTTTCTTGGCTGTAGATATGTTGTGCAAGTTTTATGCTGCCATATTACCACTTGGGGTTATACACCCGGTCTTTTCCCTCATTCGTGCGTCCGTCGGCGCGAGGGTTTTTTCCCGGCTGGCTCGGTCCAGAGAAATTAATCTGACGGTCCCAAGTGGTGCTTGTCCTGACTTATTTATGTTAGGTGAATGCAATCACTTTTCCTCCTGGGGTCTGTCTCCCTGTTGTTGCTCCTAGTTTCGTCTGCATTCTGGTTCACATCTGGCTACGGCCTACTACACTCACTCTGTGTGCTCCTGCCTCTGTTGTCTGGGTCCATGTCCTTATGTCAGTGTATGTGGAGCGAGAACATCGGTTCTGGATTATAATATTAATGTTACACTACTACTATGATACACATACATATCGAACAGGAAACTTACATGTAGTTGCGTGATGTATGCAGCCTTCATTTTATTTACAGCTCTATTAAAGTTATTAACTCCTCGAGGGTTGTTAAAACCGAAAATGAATAGAAAATATGAAGTTCAAATCAGGTTCCAGATCCGTGACTGTCTCACGTCGCCTTGTCTGCTTTCGTACATGTCTAGTCTTACCCTTACAATTGGTAGAGGTTTGGTTTTCTGTAGAAAAAGAGGTCAAACCGACATGTATGCATAGCCGTAACTTGACCAGCGCTTCATCTGTTTGCCACAAATATGGCGCTGGTTTGACGCCTTGCTTGAAACTTCGGCTTTTGGAGGAATTTTGCACACCTTAGTTGATCTCACCAGTACAGACTGTTTATTGCCGAAATCCATAGTCTATGGCCAGTGAAAAGCACTAATTATTCCAGAGAATAATGTCTTAGAACTCAGCACATCTGAATTCTCCACCGAGCAATAAAACGCGTTACATGTATACATTGTTTGTTTGTTTGAAGTTTTATTTTACATCGCAAACCAAACGGGCATTGATGCCCAATATTATGATGGCGATAGAATAAAAAGTGTGGCTCGATAAAGCTGCACTTGAGAAAATGAGAAAATAGTCAATAGGAAGTATTTGTACCGGTAATTACAAGTCAAGTTCGAACGAAGTAACAATCAGAGAGAAATAGCAAGATGAGGTCCTATGCCAGAGGGAGGTGCTATTTGGCCATATTAACCGTAGAAAAACACTTTCAGCAATCCTTTAAACGAGGTTGGACTACGAGTGGACGTGAGTTCCTGTGGCAGGGTGTTCCAAAGCTTCACGGCAGAAACCAATGGTCGGCTGTCGCCTGATGTTCGCCGAGTTAGTGGAACAACGTATTTGCAATTGGCAATGCCACGGGTGTTACTGGGCGGTTGGAGGGCTACTCTATCTTTCAGAAGACGGCTGATGCTGCTGGTGTGGACTAAGTGCATAAGCAAACGCAGTTTGCATTTGGCACGTTCAATTGCAGTGGTCAGTGCAAGGCGAGTGTATATGAGTGGTATGGGACGGGAAGGGCAGATTGGCTACGCAGCGAACACATCACTTGTCGAGGACAGTGAGCTGGTGCCGCTGCTGAGTCTTAAGTGCTGAGAAGAACGCGTTTGATCCATAAAGCATATCAGGAAGTAAAAGGGCAGAATAGAAGAGGAGTGACTGGTGTTCAGATAGCGACGGGCGGATGGTTCTCAGGGTGGTTAGCTTCTGCGAAGTTTCACGTACTATGCTGGAGACCTGCGCGTCCCACCGAAGACAGGAATCGAACTGTACTAGTCTGTAGGCCCATAAAGCAAACAGTGGTGTTCTGGGTGAGAGGCGTCCCGTTGCAGTTAACGTTGACTTCCAGGGTACCACGGCATGAACCCTCCAATGGCTAAGACCTGCGTCTTGTCAGGGTTTAAAACCAGGCCTTTCCCGTGTAGGTAGTCAGCCAAGTTGGACACAGCAACTGATAAGACTTGATTTAGGGTTGCTACGGATCCGCTTGCGGTGTCGAGAAGGATGTCATCCGCAAACAGCTGGGAGTGTGCTGGGCTGGTGACGCTATGGACGTCCATGGTATATAGTGAAAACAGCAAAGGCAGTATGTAGCTGGTGGTCTGCTGATGACAGACAGCGGTCCATGGCCAAGGTCAAGGTATCTTCCATGGAGTGTTGTGGCCGGTACGCAAACTGATTGGCGGGCAAAAGTGAATGGGTTTGTAAGAAGTCACACAGGCGTTTGTGGACTATCTTCTCCAAGATCTTCGATGCTATTGGCAGCAAAGATATGGGACGGTAATTGCGAGATGCGTTCTTGTCACTAGACTTAAATAGGGGTCGAACATTTGCAATCTTCGGGGAGAAGGGCACAATGCCAGACGAAGAGAATGCATTAATTAATATGGATAGCGACGGGGCGAGGGCTGCTGCACAATGCTTCAGGATGAATGCCGGAATACTGTCGCCGCCCTCAGCTTTACGAGCATCGAGTATCACGAGGAAGGTAAATACCTCCTCAACACTAGTGGCCTGGAATTCCCGCAAAGGATCCTCAATTGATGTAAAGTTCAATTCAAGGTGACAAAACAAATTGAAACCAAGTAGTTTGGCAATTCCTGTCAATGAAATGCCACCAAAGGCAAGCGGCACAAAAGTTGAAGCGTCTTCCTCTAGATTGTTTTGCAAAATGACAGTGACAGTGAATGACTAGCTTTTTGCATAGCCTACTATACAAGTAGGTATTGAATCTAATAACACGTCAGAAGCTGGGTGTTTGTGCCCTAGGCACCGGCGGATAATGTCGGCATAATTATTAGCATAATTTGGTGGTTGAAAATTTGGAGCAGAATTTTGCATCCTTTCGGAGGTAGGAGCATAACTACACGATTTTACAACTGTTCTAGTATGTAGGCTATACAATTGTGTACAATGCACCTGATCAGTGCTGGTGGTCTGCATGGCAAAGCGTTTGGAGGTCATGCAGATAGTGTTTTGAATGAAAAGCAGGGTGGAAATCATGGCAATACATTATTGTATGCTCGAACTCGTCTTCTTCAAAGTTCTTTCTCACACTGGCACAGCACATGTAGGAGAAGATGCGAGTTAATCAGCCTTCATCAGGTATCCCGGGGCGGAAGGGATAGTGACGGGTAGTCCACAAAACTACGTGAACATTTACCGGTACTCGTACATTACATTTGTACATTATGCATGTTACGAAGTCATGACCAGTCTGGATTTAAGCAGCCATGATATGACGGCAGGCTACGGATATTGCTCTTGTTCGGTCATGATGGAAGGAGAAGTGGAGCTACGGGCGAGATGAGCTGATTATTCGCAGGGTGAGGCCCAGGGTGACATCGGTTGGACGAGTATGATGATTACGAAGACAGTTGAACATGATAATTTTCAAAGGTAACTCAAACTAATTTGGCAATGAAATAATATTTTTACTGAAGTACAAAAGAAATCAAGTAATGAATAGAGGAAGTATTGTTTTCTCTTTTCCTTGTTGACCTCTTAGGCTCTTACATGCATGGATACCTTGGTATGAGGATACTCATGTACATGTTATTTGTTGTACTTGTGGCCACTTGCAACTTGCAAGTACGAAAAAAGGCACAATTTCCTGAACTTTGAGGCTCCTTTTAAAAGTACAACAAAGTGAATGCACTTGTATATCCCCGGGTGCTAAAGCATAATATGAGGATTTTACGACCATAATGCGAGAATCCATGAAAGCAAAATTCCTTGATTTCGCGAGAATAATTCGCCGGAGCCTATTGTGCACAGGTGTAGTTCTAGTAGTAGCAGAAGTGGGTTGCCCATTAGGTGTTGGCGGATAATGCTCGGTAATATGGGGTATAATGCTCTCAGTAATGCTCCACAAAAGGCCATATAATGCTCCAAATAATGCTGATAATGCTCCTCCGGATGGAATGTAAACTGCTGAACCTTGCGGTATCGGGCTAAGAAAAACGCTATAATATTGCACCCATGCTATGCAACATATAACGAACAATCTGGATCCGCCGCAGAGACTCAGCTGAACTAACGGCCTTAGTAAGACCGGTGCCGGCTAGAGCCTTCCCAAGTCGTTTCTGATACGCCAAGAAGGACTCCTTGACCAGCTTCTGCCTCTGAGTTTCCCTCTCCAAACGGGACTTTCCTTGTTTGTGTCTCGCGGTAGCAATATGGGACATGATTATACTCTTCTTCCCTGACAATGTTGTATGGCATGCCAGGCACACTAACTTGCCACAGTCGCTTTTGAGCGGCTCCCGCACCCGTGTTTCGGCACTGATGGCCACTTCAGTGCTCTGTCCATGAGCTACTCGCGTCCTTTTGGAAACATTTCCAGACTTGGTAATAGCTGTTTTCTGAAAAGGCCGCTTCCTCGCTATCGCGGCAGGATCTGAAGTTTCCAGCTCGACGACGTCACTATCATCAGAGGACTCCACCAAAAGGTCATCTGGAGAAAGCCCAGCTTCCTCCCAATCCCAACAACGGCATCGCGGCGAGTCAGCCATCAGGGTTGGCTGCTAGTTAGCTGGTCTTACACAATGGTCAATGTCCAGTGAACGTCCAGCGTTACTCTTCGACAAAGACATGGACTCTTGCTTCGATGAAAAATGTTTTTTGTAACATTGTGGACGGTAACCGGTTAAGGTCTGGAATGTGTGCGTGTGCGCACCTCCACCGTTCCATGCTGGCTCACATTTGTTTCGTTGGTTCGGCGTTGTTACCTAATGTACCTGGATCTTCAAAAAGTGTTAGTTGCTGGCCGAAGATAGACTTCCGGGACCGGAAGTTTCTGCGAGAGTTTCCACACTGTGCTGGATGGACCACAGCTAGCTAGCACTATTGCATGCAGTATACTGGGCCTGGCACTGCGTGCCACGATCTGTTTGGTACCATGCATGGTGTGTGCGGTGGTCTATCGCTTGTAGTAATACTTCGCATAGTAATAATGTTGCCAATCAAAGACCAACGCTATAGCCGATACGAATCTGTACATGAGCATGGGTGTAGATCTACTATGCAGTCATGTAGAACGTCGTATAATGCCATTTTTAGCCTCGTAATGCTTTATAATGCTCGTAATGCTCCGGGTGGTGTATAATGCTCGATATAATGCCGGCATTATCCGCCAGCACCTATTGCCCATATACATCAATAAACAACGGGGTGTTGACGTCAGATCAAGGGGGCCTAGTAGAACGCACAATGTCCTTCTGCGAACCCATCGAAATCCGAGATTGATTTTACGCAATATTTCGCGTTTGGAAACATTTGTCCGCGGGTACCAGGCGCGGGCTGAGAAAAAGTCGTCTTCAAAAGGTTCTTTTGCGAGAATCCGCGATATGCG